TTTAAGGGTGAAAAAATATGCATTGAACTTGAAATCAGTTGCTCCTCTCTAAAATCCCTCTCCAAAGGTTTCTTGAATCCATCTCTCCTACGGCTATTCTCGAGTTCAAACTCCCCTTGCTTCATTTCTTCCGGATCTAAGAGACATTCCTGCTACCCCTCTAGTCTTTTACCGCTGTCAGAGTAATCTTCTAAACTACTGCTCTGATGATTACTTCTTTCCAAACCCTTCCTTTGACTCTCCTCTGCTTGAAGAACACAGCCAAAGTTTCTTAAGTTGACAAATCATACCATATCATTTTCTCTCTTGTTACACATATCCTGCACTATAATGCAATTTACCTGTTCACACATCACTGAACGTACCTTGTGTTTTTTCACCTTCAAACTTTAGCACACATGAGTCATTTGCATGGACATTTATTCAGAGCCCCAGATTCCTATCTCAATACTTCAAATTTACCGCAAAGGCCATGGTATCCTTTACATTTTCCTTGAATCCCCTGAGTTAGAAATGACTTTAGCTGCTCTGAATTTGTATAGTGCTTTAAAAAAATTGCCTTGAATTGTGTTATTACATTAGCATTAAAAAGTACCTTTCTAAAACCAAAAATAGAACTACCATATGACCCAGCAATTCCACTCCTGGGTATATATCTGGGGGAAAAAAAAGCTAATTTGAAAATACACATGTACCCAAATGTTTGTAGCAGCATTATTTACAGTTGACAAGATATGGAAGCAACCTGGGTGTCCATCAACAGATGAATGGATAAAGAAGACATGATACACACACACACACACACACACACACACACACATACATACAATGGAATATTACTCAGCCATAAAAGAATACAATTTTACCATTTGCAACAACATGGATGGACCTGGAGGGTATTATGCTAAGTGAAATGTAAGACAGAGAAAGACACTGTATGTTATCACTTATATGTGGGATCTAAAAAATACAGCAAACTAGTGAATATAGCAAAAATGAAACAAACTCACAGATATAGAGAACAAGCTGGTGCTTACCAGTAGGGAGAGGGAAGGGGAAAGGGCATTATAGGGGTGAGGGAAGTGATGTTTTAGGGTGGAGCTTGATTTCCAGGTTGGCAAAAAGGTTGAGGGAATTTTCAGTGAAATTGTTAGAAGTAACTTATAGAGTCACTGAGACCCCAAGTTTTTTCTGTTTCAAATGGCTGTGGCTATTATGTCCATCATCTATCCCACAGCACAGTGGTCTTCAAACATTTACCAGGTGCGGACACCTGTCCTGGGAACAGTTCCCTCTGATACTTGGTCTTTCCCTCTTTACACTGTCAGGTGTAGGCCAGGGGAACACTCTGGAGTTACGACACATGATCACATCATGTCTCCATGACAGAGATGCTGTGGAACCAGAACTCCTGCTCTTTAGAATAACTGAGACAGTGTGGAAGTCCAGTGATCTCAACACAAGAAATATTTTAAAGAAGTTCAGTGTGGTCATTATTACAAAGCACAAAAGAGTTCTCCTGGGCTGATGATTAAGCAGTAGTCCTCATCTGCAGTCCACAGAAACTTCACAAGCAATGGGGCAACATCAGACACAAATCTCTTATCTTTCTGGAGTGATTGTATGTTTTTCTTTTTTGCAATATGGTGGTGTCTTAAGTCCATTTTAATAGAGTTCAAGTTCTTAATGTTTAGCATCTCATTAACGTAATAAGGCATTCCTCTTCTTACTGTGTCAAAATACCAAAAATATGTTTCCCACTCACTTTCCCAGATATCATGGTGTATTGCTGAATATTTGGAAATAGAAAAGTAGAAAGTTTAATCTGAAGTTGTTTTACATACTTCTACCAGGTAGCTATAATACCAACGTCTGCTTATTTCAGAGAGATACTGATGTTTAGATTTTGTCTACATTCCGATGACTCTTATTTTTACACTATGCCATTTCTTAACTCAGTAAACTAAGCTAAATGTGGTATATACTTTGTTATTCTTACATAGCATGTGCTTCTTTTCTCTTACATTTTGGAGTTGTATTGTGAATAGACATAATCCTTGCTGGTCCTTTGGCAAAGGATGGAATTTCTGGGATTGGGTGCTAAATTCAGGTTTCAATCTTTAAAAATCCAGGAGTTTAAGTAGGAATGCATGTTATCCAAAACAAACTATTTCCCCATCATAACAAAGCCTATGCAATAGGTAATAGAGACTTGCTGGAGCTCATTAATTTCTTTGTTGCCATCCTTTCATGCAGTTTCTCAGGCACAAGTCTGAAAGTGCTTTTGAACTTAAACTGAAAGTTAAGAAAAATACAGTTGAATTAGGCTTACTGTCATTCAAGCCTTTCTGTGAAAAACAAGGCCGAGTTTATAAATTTTCATTTTTTTTCTTTCAATATTCATAGAAAAACTAAGTTGTTGAAAATCATCCCTGGTGTTTTGAGTTGGAATTTCATGATTGTTTAACTTTAATTGTTTTAGAGGTTACTTCATCAAAGAGCCATTGACCGAATGGCAGATTTAATGAAGTTTCCACTAAGAAGGCATAATCACAATGGATCATAACAGAACAACATAGGCCCTTGTAATCAAAGTGCTATAGTTTAGTGAACCCAAAGATTCCCTAGGTGCTTTACAGTTTCTTGAAAGTGATGAAATCATGACGGAGGAGGACTTCAGACCTAAGATAATAAAAATAAGCTCTCTGGAGGCTTTAACAGTAAAGACACATTTTGTTCAGTAGTACATGATCATCACCCAGTCATTTTCCCTGTACCTTCTCTCATTCAAGGACATGAGTACTACCTTTACAAACTCTTCAGCCAAGCACTTAAAGCCTTCCTACCAATTTTCCTCCTCTGATCGGCTTCCTTTCCTCTACTCTCCTTACTGGGTCCCTCACAACTGTCAAATCAATGTGCAGTTTTTTCCCACACAGAGCCCAATCTCCTTGCCTCTACTTCTTGGAATTTGCCCGCTCCCCACCACCCCACCTTTGCTCCTTTATTTGTGCTGATCCATGTTCCCTTTCACAATTTGACATGTATTTTTTCCAAATAGACACAAAAAACCAACTTTCATAGTTAATTCCATGTGGTCCTTCAAACCATGATCCACATCTGCTTTCTTTTTGTGGGGAAGCAAGAGTAGTAAGTTGTGTCGCTATTTTCATCTTTAAGACTTTGGCCAATCCACTTAGATTCATTGTCTCTATATTATGAATAAATTATACTAGTGTTACTTTACAACTGGATTTGTAGTCATGATTAAATGAAACCATGAAGGTGAAGTATGTATTCGGAACAGGGCTGGCACATAGTAAAGTTTTAATAAATATTATCATACTAAAGCAAATACATATTTTCCATACATAGCAAGTGGCTGGAAGTTTTCCAAGCCTTTTCTTGTGTTCAGTTTATCCATAATTATGCCTTTTTCAGGATGGACTTATAGAACTCTCTAGATAATAGAGAATACTGAGATTTATGTCCCTTATCAGAATGTCTTAAGTGATGTGGATTTCTCGTTCTTAGGCTACTTGAATTTTCATGAATTTTTAGACATTAGATAATATCAAAGTGTTGGTGGTTGTTAATTTTAGCACAACTGCTAGTTAAAGATGTAATCTGTTGTTGGCACTTAGGACAGTGCCTGGCTTGTAGGATGCCCTAAGTAAATGGTATTATTATTATTAATATTGTTGCTGTATTAGGAGTGTATAGGATTTTTCTCTCCTTTCTTTCTATTCTCTTAAATTAAACAATTACATTGCATTTAAACATAATGTCCAAAATGCTTTTGAAAACATTTCAGAATATACTCATTACTTAAAAAAAAGTCAGTGATATCCTAGAGATTGTCTACATCACTTAAAATTTATACATTTATAACATTCCAATTTTTTTTGTTGGGGGGTAATTAGGTTCATTTATTTATTTAATATTTTTAGAGGAGATACTGGGGATTGAACCCAGGACCTTACCATTTGAACTATGTCCTCTGGCTGACATCTTAATTTTTGAGATGATCTTTTAAAGTTAAGAAAGCTAACTTAAAATGAAGTATCTTACCAGAAGTTTTCATTAATTTTTTTTTGCATTTCTATGAAAATCTTCAAAATCACTTCATTAAGCACTTAAAAAGCAGCTACCACAGGCCCGAGGGCTGCACTGTGTGTTGATTCCCAAGAATGATTTGTAGAACATTAAAATCCAAAAGCGGTTTCTGAAAAGTTTTGCTGGTTTCCAAGTTGTATTATTTTAAACCCATATTTTTAAAAATGCACAACTTTGTGGGGACGGGTATAGCTCAGTGGTAGAGTGCATGCTTAGCATGCACAGATCCTGGGTTCAATTCCCAGTACCTCTATTATAAAAATAAAAAATACATTAAAAAATGCACAACTTTGTTCTATAGGAAAAGTCTTTAGTAAAAACCTTTTAATTTCTAATTTACCCTTTAACAAAGGCAACTTCAACAAGCCAAGATCCTTCATTGTGTGTTTACTGAAACTTAAAAAGTAAAAAGAAAAAATCACTTGGGACCAAAAGAAGTCTTCAAAGATATTTTCGTTGTTTCTTTCCTTGAGAAGTTGATAAATTCTTCCTCTCCAAACATTAACAATAATTTTAAAAATAATTGAACAAAATCATTAGTGTATTTTATTATTGGTTTTGGTCACAAGATCATTTCCGGAGACTTCTGTTTTGAGATACTCTCCTTGCAATAATGAACTTCCAGGTACCTGAGAACTAACCTTGATATTTTTGTCCCTCATAGCATGGTTCATGGTTTTAGAATGAGATTAGAAGCGCTGATCTATAATATTTTGTCTACATATCCTGGGAGTCTCATACTTCTTAATTTTGGATTGGAATTGGCATCTCTCCCGTAGCTCCACATTTCGCCGAAGTCCGAGTGAGGTGACGGTGTGAGACCTGACTTGCAGTGGGTAATTTGCGACGGCGTTCCTAGGAATAAGGCGGAAGCCCGAGCAGTAACAAGACACGGGGGCGGGGTTAACGTCCAAAGCTGCGCACCGGTTCCCAACTGATTGGAAGGGACGGAGTGGGTGGAACCTTCTGACCCGGGCCGGTGCCTCTGTCGCTAGGGACGCTTCGGCCCAGGTAACTGCCATGGATCAGGAAGAGGGGTCGACCACGTTGGACAACATAGTCACTCAGTTCAACACCTATGAAGATTTCCTGGACTCGCAGATCACTACGGTGGACCTGTACTACCTGGAGGTAAGAGCGGCAGCCCCACGGGGCGGCCACCTCCTTCGCGTCCCTCAGACTCTCCAGAGGCCCAGCGTCGTGGGGTGATCGCCCCCTGGCGGGGGACAGCGGGGACAGCTGACCCCGAAATACCGACGGCGGCTCCAGAGCTCAGCGGCGGAGAATCGGCGGGTCTTCCCGCCCCGCGCTGCTTCAGTCGGTGCGGAATCCGGGCCCCAGGTGTCCATCACCCGGCGCTGACCCACGGCCGTGCGCACGCGCGCACGCAGACCCGCCGCGGGGCCTGGCGTTCCTGCACGTCGGCCTCC